CACACGCTGGGGGTTTTTAAGAAGAGGTTGGATGACCACCTTACTGGGGTCGTTTGACCCCAGTACTCTTTCCTGCCATGGCAGGGGGTCGGACTAGATGATCTGCTCAGGTCCTTTCCAACCCTAGAAACTATGAAACTATGAAACTTTCAGTCCCTACACTTTAACTCTCTCTCTCTCACCTGAACCTTCTCCCAAGTATCCCAGGTACCCCAAGCACACACATACACACTGTACCATCCAAGTTAGGAATTTACCTGTGTGTATGTGTAGGCTGGGGGTGTGCGTGTGTATGTATACATGTCATTGTATGCATGATATATGAACTAGTGATCTGTGTCTAACTTTTAGGGTGTATAGTGTGTGTGCTTGAATTGGTGGTAGGTATGCATGTGCCTAGGCTGGTTTGGATGTGTATGTGCCAGAGATGGTAGTGTATGTGTATGTGTGTGTATGCACCTAATTGATTTGTGTGTTTGTATATGTGCAATTGTGTCACACCCTCCTGTCTAACAGTGCAATATTGAGATCCTGAGAGTTTGCCTGACCCCACAGAGCAACAGTATGAAGCAGGGTTTAGAACAAGAATAAACAAGCAATGCATTAATATGGAAAGCAAGTAATCCACCCAGGTGATGTAAAAAGTCACTCATAGGGTGGGAAAGTGTGGAAACGATTAACAGGACAACAACAACAACTGAAAGAAATAGCCAGTCATTCCCCATAGACACAAAATGACTGAACCAGACCCATAACAAATCATTAGGTCATATAAACACAGGGTATTCTTTTCTTCACTACTTAAGCAAGCATCAAGTTTTCTTAGTGCATAGTACTTAGGGGGGCATACATAGCTGTCTTAGACAGCTTTATTTTAGGGAGTGCTGGTAGCAGCAAGGTTACACTGAAAGGAGACTTTCTTTGGTGAGAGTCAACATGGTGTGCTAGCCCAGATCCTCAGCAGGTTTAAAATCAGTGCTTCAATACAGTTCCTTACATCAGTTTATATAATCTACAGCTCTGGCCAACTCCAGTTAATTAGCCTTTAAGT